TTCAAGAAGCATGTGTTACTCATCATAGACTTTTGTAGCAAGGTTGTCAAAGGAGTGAAGAATATATTTGGATTTAGAGAAGACGAAAAAATAGGTATAGAGTTTTCTATGATAAGAAAATAATCAAAGGTAGAAACAAGGGGGTAGTATATCATTAGCATTAATCACCATAACTAAGTGAGAATAATATAATATAGACATAATCATGATCCAACAAATGACAGGACTAATGACAGTTACACAAAAGCAACAAAACAAACAAAATAATAATAATATAGTAATGTGCAGTATACTAATGTCAACACCGCAAGCATATGGAAGTGTGAAAAACGGAGACAGTTAATCGTGTTCTTCAGGCGAACTGGCAACCCCCGCCGGCTTGTGCATATAACGTCGCTTCGGCCGAGGCAACCACAGGCACCACAGTTCCCGACAAGGAAGTACCAAGCTTCTGCAGCCAGCAACCGCGACACAGCAAAGAGACCGGACACTATTTCTGTGTAGATAACCATCATGAGACCGTCTGTGATGATCACTCTCCTTGTCCTGGTCTTGGCCGCGCAATGCAACGCAAAGAAAAAGGGGAAACTTACAAAAGAGGTTGCTCGGCATCTTCTTGGTTAGCATCTTAATCCTTGCCCGATGACGATTCTTTGTGTTTTCAGTTAATGATAACATACTTTAAACGAACTTATGTCTGGTAATCGCATTCTATCTCTCACCTTCTTTAGGCATTGGACGACCAAGAGGGTGACTTTCATGGGACACTCATGCAAGATTGAAGTGGAGCATAGGTTCTCCCACTGGACTGTGTACCACCAGTGCACTTTCACCTGTGACCATTGGCCTAATATCACAGGCAAACGTGCGTGATGATTTCCTATCCTCTTTGTTTTTCTTCCTTTTCTACCCTCTCTTTCTCTTGCCTTACACTACAGCAGCAGTGATTTCAATAGCTGCAATACATCTGGTTCTGCTTCCTCTACTAATCTTTTCGCCTGAACAGCCTCGTCGCGCTGCAAACTAGCGACGGCAAAGGAATCTGTGCGAGACTTCGTCGATAAAGCCATCAATTCCAATCTCATCAGACGGATAGACGTGGAAAGGTGGCTTGAAGAACAGAGGAATGGATCTACCACTTTGACTTAGTTTACTTTATATTCATGTTATATCATGTATTTATTTATCATGTAGGAGATATATGTATGTGTGTGTATATGTATGTCCTATGTATGTATATATATATATATATATATATATATATATATATATATATATATATATATATATGTGTGTGTGTGTGTGTGTGTGTGCGTGTGTGTGTGTGTCTGTGTATAATATTATATATATATATATATATATATATAATATATATATTATATAATATATATATAAATGTATATATATCCTATATAAGCCCTATATGTATACACACACACACACACACACACACACACACACACACACACATATATATATATATATATATATATATATAATATATATATATATATATATATATAATGCATGTACACAAATATATAGAAATGCATATATGCATATATTCATTCATGAATATACGTAAGGCACTCCTATGTTATTATTATTAATGCCAATGTCATATTGCATTTCTTCTGATAATCATATCGTTTTGAGCAATATAGTTATAATCCTCGATTATTAATGGACCTTTACCTTCTGTTGAAACAAACTGTATAATCTCTAAATATCTACTGGCAAATAAAATTACATGTCTGTATTTAGTTGTCTGCATCCCATTTCCTTCTCGAGATTCTGGCACAAGTGACAAATCAGAACAAACAGAGGCTTTAGAAGTCTCTCTGAAAATCATCAATGTCCTGAGTCTGTAGTGAGCCGCATTTAGACTCGAAACGGCGGGTCACTCCTGCCACAGCTACGACCCAAGATCCTTGCCTTATGTAAAGGAATGAAGGATTCCTTGTCTGATATTATATCTATAGAATTAAGATCATCAAGAATTTATTTGATTTATTTTATTAACAAGAGAATAATTATTTAATTTCATTTAGTTTGTAACGTTGGCTACAGTGACGTTAGAGTTGTACGAACGCCCTACAAAAACGCATTGTTGTGAATCCGCGGAGCCCCGCTAGAGAGCCACGTGAGACGCCTTGTGCTGCGTACTTTTAAATTATTCTTGTTTTATGAAGATTTGGGCTAGCCACACTCTTTTCACCACTCTCACGTGCACAATCATGCTCACCCGTACGTGCATGTTGTCATCTTGCAAGTTGGATACACTGCTCATACTTACCAGCTTGTGAACATGACAATAAAGGTTTAACTGACTGCTAGTGTTTTACTGGAGGCAGTACACCGGGAATAAGGAAGTCTACCCTCCATGCTTCAGGAAACAACGAGATGAAAACGGGACGCCACATAATCCAACAAATACACCATGTGTTTCATTTGATTTCAAGTCATTTTAAAGCTTTTAGAACAAGAAATCTTTTTTATTGTTCCTTTTTTGAACCTTATATATCAATCTGAGAGGCTCTATAAAGATTAAATAAAAGAATGCCACGAATCAGCAGGGAAGATGATTCTATAAAAACAAGGAATTCCCATATGTATTTTTAAAATTATGATTAATTTTAAAAGAATATTTTCTTATTATTCTATTATCCTATTTGCCATTGGGGATTTTTTATTGATTCCATTTTTAAGTAAATTGAATCCATTCCCTGGAGCGGGGTTGATGAGGTTACCCTCGCTCGAGCGCGCCCTTTGAGAGGGACCCAGAGAGAGAGAGAGAGAGAGAGAGAGAGAGAGAGAGAGAGAGAGAGAGAGAGAGAGAGAGAGAGAGAGAGAAATGAGAGCGTAGCGAGCAGATGTGGAGCATTTTTTGAAAGCACTCAAGTCCTACCTGGATTTTGCTAATTTTCGGCGACTCCAGAGGAGCATCATTTCTCATTCTCATCAACCTCTCTTCATTCTCGTGACAGTGCGGTGTTTTGGGTTAAGGAAAATCCACATATGATATGATTTAGGTAATCTGTCTCCCGAGTGTGTCTTATTTTATATACACATAATGGAGCCTCTTATTTTGTGTAAAACTCGATGTTTTATTGTGAATTTCTCATTTAGTTTTTTTTTTAAATTGTGTATATTTTATGATCGGAACTTCAAGTTCATTTTTATAAATGTTTTATTTTACGTGCTTTAAGTAAATAAATTGTAATTGTGTTGTGCTACTCGCTTTTCTTCCAAATGCCAGTGATATTGCCCACAACATATATATATATATATATATATATATATATATATATATATATATATATATGTATGTATGTATGTATATATGTATGTATGTGTGTCTGTGTTTTGTGAATGTGTGTGTTTATGTGTGCTTGTGTGTATATGTGTTTATGTGTGTGTGTGTAAATATGTGTGTGTGAATGTGTGTGTGTGTGTGTGTATGTAGATACACACACATATATATATAATATTTATTAATAATATATATGTGTGTGTGCATGTGTATATGTGTGTTTTGTGTGCGTATGTGTGTATGTATTGATATATATATATATATATATATATATATATATATATATATATATATATATGTGTGTGTGTGTGTGTGTGTGTGTGTGTGTGTGTGTGTGTATGCACACACACGCACATACACACATATTCACACACACATAAACACACACACACGTGTGAAAAATCGGAAGGAAAAAAGCATTGCATCTGGAAATGTGGATGAACTGAGTGAGTCGAGCGCAGCATTGGAAAACCGCTGAGAATGGTCCGAGATAAACCCGGAGCCTGAGATCACCAAGATTAAGATAATCTTACGTAGCAATGTAAAGTTTACCCCAAAAACATATCCGTAAGTGGTACAGATGGAGTGGTTTTCTTCTTTGTCAGAATTTGAAGGTAAACTAAAGCATTCGTGAAACACTAACCCTGATATTCTTTAATTGAAACATTAGCTTTAGATATATATCATACTAATGTAAGTGATTTTTATTTTTTTCATAATAACCAGTTTTGATGCTGATTCCCAGTAAGATAATGTGTAAATTTATGAGGAGAAAAGAAAAGAAAAATAATGGCTTTTAGACAAAAAACCTCTAAAAGATACTTTTGTAAATCGGAAATATTTGGTTTGTACTACTTGTGAAAAAACACGGATTTCCTTAAGCACACTTTTCTAGAAAAATAACAATAATAATAATAATAATAATAATAATAATATAAAATAATGACAGTAATAATAATAGTATTAATAATAATAATAATAGAATTAATAATAATAAAAAATAATAATAATAATGATAAATAATGACAGTAATAATAATAGTATTATTAATAATAATAATATAATTAATAATAATAATAATAATAATGATAAAAAAAGCTTTATCTCTATCATTCAGAGCGTGAGTACGAATGGCAATTGCTTCGTTCAGTCCTGAACCAAAGGGAATTTGCCAAATTCTTACTTTGCTATTAAGTTACCACAAAATTACAGACGGAGCAAAAATACGCACTTGGACATTGAAAATGCCATTTGCCTACGATAACCATGGCATTTTGATACCGCTAAGGCAGTTGGCTTTAACGGACGCAAAGTAAATTTACTCTTTTATTATATAGGTAATACTTTAGAGAAAAATAAAGATGAGTATAGTGATAATAATCAGTATTGGCATCATCATACAAATTGTTATAATTTCTTTTATCTTTATCACAGCAGTCGTTATAACCTCATCTATGATGATGATTGTACTACTATTAATACATAATGATACTGATTATGGCAGTAATAATCATGATCATTTTCATAATTCATAATAATAATAGTAGGAATAATGTTCAGCATGGGATACTTATATGGAAGTGTGAAAAACGGAGACAGTTAATCGTGTTCTTCAGGCGAACTGGCAACTCACCGGCTTGTGCATATAAACGTCGCTTCGGCCGAGGCAACCACAGGCAACCACAGT